TTCCGGTAGCCACCGCCTTGCCGCGCGCCTTACCCTTGCCCTTGGCAGGCGCGACACCACTCTCTCCAGCCATCAAGAAAACAAAAAGACACGAAGAGGGAAAGATTTGAGAAGAAGGAGAAAGAAGACTACAGAAAGGAAGTACCTGGTACTCTTCCTCAGAAAACAACCCTAACAACAACTGGGTTACCGGAAATGGCGACGGAGGCAAAGAAAACGGAGACGGAAGATGAACAGAGGCGCAAGAAGCAACGTGCGCGAGAAGTCAGGAAGAAAGAAAAGGAAAAAGTGTAAAGTGAATGGGAAGGGGCGCGAGAGAGAGAAAGAAAAGGTTTCCTCGAAAATTCGAAACGGCCACGACACGTGTCGGTCAGGAAACACAACTGACGACACATTAAATGAAGCCCATTATGACGAGCACAAGTCATCATTGCATAACTGTCACTCCCATTAACACGTCGCCTGCACGTTTTCGAGAACGAGGCGACAGTTGCAACACATGGCATCTTGACAGGCAGGCATCAGCGAAAGGTCACTGCTCCCCGACGAGCTCGGTCTTAACTCCTTGACCTACGGTCTTCGGAGCTCGGGGGGCTAGTGTACTATCCGTACTGCGAAGCCGAGCTCCAAGCTCAGCATCACAGCGCAGGACGACCTCGGACACGCGCTGTGTGACGTCAACTCGTCACCCAAATAGGTCATAACTAATCTCGGGCCCAAAGCCCAGTAAAACCCTAATCCATACTAAGGTACGTGCATTATTTATACGAGACTCATACTCCCACAAACCCTAACTTTAGTATCGGAGTCTCTTTTACAGGTACCACCCCCATCTTGGAGCATCAACGTACCAGTGAAGGAGGCTCACCGACCTTACCCAGCGGATCATCTTCACCTCGGATCCCTAGTAAGAACAGCCTTACTTCAGCCAAATTTCGTCCAAAAGTCACCAAGAGAGAGCCATCACTTTTTAGAAACCCTAGCTAGGTTTTCTACCTTTTGAAGTGAGCTTTCCTTTGTTCCTTAAGCTTGGATGCTTCCATCCATAGCCTAGGAAACCTTAGATCCGAAAATCTTCCTCCAATCAAGTTTTCTTACCTTTGGTTCAAGTCTCCTTGAAGAGGATCCGAGCATAGGAGAAGCTAAGGAGAAGAACTCCAATCACTCCTCCTTCCTTCTCCATCAGGTGCTAATATTTTTGAAAGTATTGCAACTGAAATAATAGATGTGTTATTTGGTGGAATAATGACAAATGTGTAAAATTATAGATCTATCTAGTTTTGTCTTGATTCCTCTGATTATTCATCCATTTTTTTAAAGTTGTTTAATCAACTAAAAAACTTTATATTTTCATATACACGTGAAACTAGAAGTCATAAGTGAGAAGACAATTCATTAAAAGGCTTGATAAAATGAATTACAAGAAGCCAAATCAAAGTCGTATTACTATTGCAACTTAATCATTGAAAGGGTAAACAAAAACCAGTGTTTTAGCAATCGTTTCACCTAATATAGTTGGTTTTCCAATACAAGACATGGACATATCAAAAAAAAAAATACAAGACATGAACATCCCATACTCAAGGCAAAGGTTCGGATGATTTGCTCATGTTTACAACAATGTCTAGCAATTCTATAACACTTTCTTTGAAACTATTTGATGGTGCTTGGAATAATGCGAAATACTTTGAGAATGGTGTTCTTAGAGGCAAGGGAAGTGATGCTCACAAAGCAATTGTAACAAGCAACATCACCTTTCTTTTTTGTCTTGAGGGTTAGGAATTCGTAACGGCTAGTAAACAAGTGTTCCCTTTTCTTTACCTCGAGGACAAGGCAAAATTAAAAAGCGGCGATATTGATAGGTGATCTTCAGGACAAGGCAAAATTAAAAGACAACATGACCACATAAGGTCACTTTCTTAATCTTTGCCTTGACAAAAATTCACCTTACATTTTTGCCTAGAAACTTCATTCCTTTTCATATCTTTAACTGCGACACCTGTTGTTAAGACTCTTTTTTATACCATTACAAAATTGAAGACCTCTTCTCTGTCAACTCAAAATAGACGTTGCAAAAGAAATTGTTGATAAAAATTAAAGTATTAAAAAATTGCAAGCACAAGAAATTAAAAAGATATATTAAAGGACATGAACTAAAAAGGATTAAAAGATAAACATAAAAACTAAAAAAAAATATTTTAAACTAAGAACTAAAAGATAAAATAAATGAAATTATAAAAATTAAAAAGTATTTTAACCAACAAGAAATAAAATAAGGATTAGAAAGATATATTAAACTATATGAACTAAAAAGCATTAAAAGATAAATATAAAAACTAAAGATTTATTTTAAGAGTTAATCACCTATATACGACCAGTGTAAAAAAAATTTATACTAGCAATCAGTCATATTTTTTAATAGTGTTATGTCATTTACTTATTTAATCAAATAAAAATAAAATAAAATAATTTAAAAGATATGATTAATTACCGGTGTAAAAAACTTTATACTGGCAGTGTATAAATAATTATCTCTTATTTTAAACCGAGAACTAAAAGATAAAATAAGTGAAATTATAATTAGAAAAATATTTTAACCAACAAGAGACATTATCATTGTTAACATTCAAAATAAAATTCTGAAAATGCATTAACCTAAATGCAAATTTAGCTTAGCAGTTGCTGATAATTATATAAATATAACAATGTAATGTCTATATTTTTGGGCCGGTCCGGGTATTGTCAATTTGCTATTTTGCCGCGACTATATCTAACTTTCATCTACAGATTAGAGTACAAAATTTCACAAATAGCACTAAAATCTCACTTGCATCCGCACTACAAGTGAAAAAGTATTAAGTTGATTTCTTACAGCTTGAACTCAATTCTGTGAGTACTCTGAACTTTACATAATTTACAGCGCGCAGGCAGTTAATTTAGTGAAGTAATTGAATTTGTAAAGACACTTCTAATATATCTACAAAATCGATTTTTGAATTGCAAGCTCTTTCGCAGAAGTTGCTAATCTGCGGAATACTTTGAGATTGTGCCCTACTTTTTCCTGGAAAGAAAAAAACAGGGAAAAACTACCAAAGTGAATACACGACACTCTTAATTGCAAGCATATTAGATTTTTCAATTCGGTAAAAGCTTGATTTCAACTAAATACACGACACTCTTGCAAATAAGACCACATTATGAGACCCATACCTCACTCAGCAACTCAAGTCGGTCAAGAATTGGAACTAACTTCCCACATAACAAATCAACGTCCTGTTGTGCATCATACTTGGCACCATATGTAATTGTTTTTGTAGTCACGGTAGAATCAAGTGCAACAGGGCTGCCAAAAGATACAAAGAAA